GGATCATAGAAAACAGGTTAAAAAGTGGGAAAATGTCCACAGAGAATCATTTAGCTTTGAGCAACAACTTTTCCAGAGTTATTATGTCGGATTTTGGTTTTTCACTAAACAACCCAAATCACGTGCACTCTTCAGAAACCGTGCACGTGTGTCTCCTGTGTGTCCGTCATTTGCCTTCATTATTTTTTGTTGCTTTTTTCTGGCTCTTAAATCATTTAGTAGATTAGTCGTTTGTTCCAATAATTAATTTATACTTTGGGGAATGTCTGCGGCAGGATTTTTATTTTAGTTTTTTAGTTAATCTGCAGTTTCCTTCAGTGTCTCAGTGAGAGACCAGTGTGCTGCCGACAGCAGCTCTGATCTTCCTGCAGCTTCTGCGAAGGACAGAAACACATTTCTTTGAAGATCGTGGCCGCGGTCAATCATCTGGTCTCTGTGATTTCACTCAAAAGACTCTGTCGACATAATGAGGAGAATGACCTGTAAATTAAACATCACAGATTCGTGTCCAGTTGTACTTTCTTTGATCACTGAGGTTCAAGTGAACGTTCAGCAGATGCTGTCGTCAGACACGTGTCGTACAGCGGCCTCGTGTGGTTCAGGTCAGGACTTTGTTTTAACGTGAGTTTTCAGTAACGGAAAGTTATTTATACATAAATTCAAATGAGCAAAGAAACGGTTTAGAACAACAGAATTTGTGGTTCCCAAAAGTGGGCCACAACTCCCAGCTACCTTGTAGTAAACATGGAGAACTGGATCTGGCCCACAACTGTATCTGGGTCACAACTGCATCTGGGCCACAAAGTTTACCCACATTTAACTCCTCATGGGACCCAAACCTACACTGTGAAATTGTTGCGTTGTTTCTTTCTCAGTGTTGAAGTGAATCAACAGGCCGTGGACTCAGTCTTGTTACAGCCTGTTTACTGCTGAACAGGAAGTGATCAGGTCAGGACTAAATGCATTTGTTGTCTCCTCCGTCTCTGAGGAAACCCGATGCAGGCGTATATATATGGTTGAAATGCAAATTACAGCTCTGGGCGCTTTCTCTCTGTTCAAACAACTTAAAATGAGGCCAGGAGTTACCTGTGGTTCGGCTGAAGACGGAAAGAGCTTGTTTTCCCCGTGAATGCTGCAGTCTGCACTGCGCTGAATGAATGAATTTGGCTCTCAGACGGCTTCAGATGGTAAACTTTATGAACATATTTCACCTAAATGTCCAATAGAGGCAGTAAAACTGTGGGATTGGACGCGGCGGAGTCACAGCCTCTGAGATGAGATCATGATCCTGAAGAATACGGCGATTTTCTCAAACTCTCTGCTCACAAAAGAGGCTGGTTGGCTCACTCCGGCTGGATCCATACTTTCACTCACTCTCTCTGACCTTGTGGTGACCGGTGCTGTCCGTGTCTGATGGCTCTCCTGTGAAGCCCTGGGCAAAGAGGGAGGTTTTCTCCCCCTGTCTGAGAGGGAGGAAAAGAGAAGGTTGACGATGTCTTTCGGGAAGAAACTGAGACAAAAGCCTCTTTTTCACAGCAGGCGAGGGTGGACGGTTCAGGACATGGAGCTTTGTCATGAGATACATAAAAAAAAAGGCTGAAATAGTGAAGCAGTCAGTGGAGCTGCCTTTGGTTATTTTCAGTTTTGTTGTCTAACCCCAGATGTTGAACTAGTCATTTACTCAACTTTTAAACCAGACGTTTGTTTTTGTTTTTATCATGAGCCGTTAAAGATTTCATTGTTTTGAAAAATGGATAAAAAAGAAGAAGAGAAAACAGTTCCTTGTTATTGAACTACACCTGTTTCCGTGTTACACCGCGAGCTAGGATTTCTAACAGATGCCCGTATCAGAGAGAGAGAGAGAGAGAGAGAGACACTGCAGAGTGGCGTGGATGCCAACACTGCTGAGTCACATGGCAGCTCTGTGGTTTCTGGACACCCTCATGCTGTCTGGGACAACACTCCAGGCATCGTAATAAGGGTTCTTCTCAGCCTCAGTACAAAGTCATCTCTGTGTCAATACACGGGCTCAGACTTTAGCTGCTGTTCATCGGCCACAGTCGTCCATTTATGTCCCTCCCCGAACCATGGCGTTCTTCTTTTTCCCTGCGTTTTCTGCAAAGTCTCAGCGGCTCCGTATGCTCCGCGGTTCTCGTTGATTTCCACCACACAGCTTCCTCTCTCCCCATCTCTGTGATTCCGTCTCTGTGTTTCTGTCTCTGTAATGTGCAGCCGTATGGCTGAGTTTACAGCCTTGATTTATTCAGTGACTCAACTCCTCTCCTGGCTGGGCCGTTATTCATCCCTCACTAATGAAAAGAGGGAGAAGGCAGAGCTTATGGAGCCGTTGGTTGGTTGGTGGCACAGGTGTCGCACTGGAACAACACCACAGGTGACGGCCGCCGATGAAACGTCTCATAATGGGCTTCCTGTGTGCAAACACAGAGGCAGGCAGAGCAATATGGAGCAGTGAGGTCGGCGTCGACGGTGACACGGGAGAAGGTATCTCTTCCAAGGGAAGATGAACGTAATATGAGGCAGGAAAGCAGGTGAAATGGAGATGTAGAGGGATAGGAGGCGGCTGAGGGGAAAACAGGAAATGATATAACAATAGTCTGAGGGAGACAGAGATGTGAGGCAACAAATGAGTCCAATAAAGCACAGAGGCAGGCTCCGCCGGGGGTCACTGATCCTTGTTTTTTTTTTTTTGACAGAGAAGCACAGATTTTTTTTTCCGTGGTGATTAGCCATGCTCCATGTCTCCTAACTCATTTATTTTCCCCCAATTCCTCAGCCTATAAGACAAGTGCCTGAAATATTTATTCCTACCTGTGCTGTTCTCCTTGTTTCCAGCTTTATCTACACAGATAACAGACAGACAAAACTCTCCAAAGACAAAAAGGTGCTTTAAAAAAGTTATATAAATCATTTACAGTCTTACAACTTTTAAATCAAGAGCGTGCACTCCTGCAAGCAGCAGCAAAGTTGCCGTATTTTTCGTAGATATACGATGAGCTGGGTTCAGCACCAAGGACAGTTCCAGTCACTCTGCTCAGCTGCTGATGGAGAAAAGACAGAAAAAGATTCGATTTTTTTTATTGTTAAAGCTCCGCAAAGAGCAACTAGTAAGGAAAACATTCAGCAATGCTAACTTCAGCTTTATTGTTTTGTTTTTGGATCAATTTTATTGCTGCGAGGCGGAGGTGAACGGATGAACCTCAGCAGTCGTTGACCAGAAATCTCTGTGAAAGACACAGCTTTTTTTTTCTGGCTGTTTCTAAAAGCCCACCATCAAAACCTGCTGCAGACGATAACTGGGTCCTTGAAGCTAAAGAATAAATGTTAAAAGAGTACATAGTAATTTACGGTTACACACACGTACTGTGCAGGTATAATCAAAGAGTACGACCGAATTCACCCAAAATACTACAATCTCTGTTTTTGATGTAACTGGGTATGACTGACAGCAAAACTAATATAAATTACTATTATTGATATTATTATAAAACATGAAAAAATAATCACTGGTACATGGTATTGCTTTCGTGAAGTTATAAAACATGAAAAAATAATCACTGGTATATGGTATTGCTTCCTTGTAAACTGCAATAAAAAACACAGGAAATAAATAAATAGTGCTTTCCTCGTGATTTTTTATTTTGACAAATGTTTGTTTATTGGTCCAACGTCCCTGAGCTGAGTTAAAGACGGCTCTTTGAAAAGAAAATCACCTAAAACCGACACTTATTTTATTATTATTGTTTCTCTCCTGCGTTGAAGAATATTTCCTGCCTTTTTTAGGCAGAATTTCAAATCGTAAACTCACCAAAGCGAGTTTTTGCCTCAGAAAAGAGTCGGGCTGCTGCGATGCACCTCCACATTAGAGGACGTATCCTCCGGTACTTCAGACGTGCTTTGTGTGTTGCATAATTAAATTGCACATTAAAGCGCGGAGTGAGGCGCTGGAAAAAAGTGCAGCGCCCGGGGAGACGTTTTACTCTTTTTATAATGAAAAAAAAAAGGAACCTTTTATGCTGCATTGTGTTCGTACTGGGCTTTGAGCTGTGTGCAGAGCCGTCACTTTAACGCTCCGCCATTTATGACGGAGGATTTTACTGTCAGCCTGTCTGTACGGTGCGGTCGGAGTTGTCACAGGTGATAACGCTGAAGTGCAGTAAACAGTTCTTTGAGAAGTGTCATCACAGTCCAACCTGAATGACGTTAATGAAAAGCCAAGGTTTTCACTGTTGAAAATACAAAAGTGACATCGTCTCGTAGTAAAACAGTGATCGTGTCGAAGAATAAATCTTGAAAAGGAGTTCTTTGGTGGCGCTTTGGCCCAGAGGCAACGTCTCTGTCATTGGTGTGGAACCCCAGGGTTCACCTCCTGGGCAGGTTTGAATCCTGCTCAGGGTGGTTGGTACCTTCCAGTGGACTCACCACCTGCAGGAAGGTTCAGGGGGGTTGGTACGGTGGAGTGTGATTTGGGTGGCGGTCGTGGAGACTGCTGCCCCCGCGACCTGGCGAAGGCTAAGTGGATGAAAATGGATGGATGGATGGATGGATGGGTGGATGGATGGATGGATGGATGGATGGATAGATGGGTGCAGTCCTTTGGTAAATACGACTGTTGTCATGCTCAGTGTTGGCTGGAGAGACCTGAAACATTTGTTAATATTTGGTGTTGATAATTGAGCATATTTGGATGTGATTGATGAATTATAACTCCATCTAATACTCAGGATCAGTATCGATCTGAAATTGGTCTGGAAATTGAAAACAACCAGTATCAGTATTGGCCTTGAAAGTGTTTTATTGAGCCAAATGTAATAAAAAACACCAGGAAGAGTTAGTGACTGGAGACGGCCGTGACATCATGTTTGGTTTTTACTTCATTACTTCTCTCTGCCCTCGCTTTGAAACGTGTTTCCAACTGAAGATGAATGAAATTAAAGATAAAAGCTTTGACTCATTTTTTTTTTCCTTTTCTTTCATTTCAGATATAAACATGGCCGGTGAGCCCAAGCCTTACAGGCCTAAAGCTGGATCCAAACGGCCACTAACAGCTGTTTACAGGTAAGACTCCGGCTCCCTGCAGCAGCTGCCGTCATAAATATTCACCAGCTCAGAAATCCTGCCGCTCCCTCTCATGTAGACGTGCAGTGATGTTCAAAATGCAGGGATTACTTTTCACCATGCTCTCTCTCTCTCTCTCTCTCTCTCCCGCTTTCTTTTAATTTAACCTTGAATTACTAATTAAAATTTTCACCGCTTTTCTCAGCTGTAAATGGAACTTAGCTCAGAGGAGAGGTTTTTGTTGATGTTGTTGTTGTTCTTGTTGTTGTTCTTCCAAGCATCATTAAGTATTAGCTTAATTCCTGGCCTCGTCACCAACGGATTAAAGCAATGTTTCTTCACTTTCCTCCAAACTGACATGTTTTTTTTTTTCTGTTATTTATTTATTTATTTGTTTTGGAATTGATCAAATTCACAGCAACTGATTTTGTTCCCGTGTAGTTAGTTTGTGTTCATTAAAACCTTCCCTAGCCTTTCACGGCTGCGTCCCAAAGCAGCGGGAATGTGACGCTGTAATAACAGAGCAGGAGACGAGGCTGACACTGTGACAGTGACACACACACCAGTTCTAGCTGAAATTCCAGGAAGAAAGGCAACATTCCCAAACAGTTCTTTCTCCGTTTTATGTCTTTCTGTCTGTGAATTCCAAATGAATCCAAGTGCATACTAAATATTGATTTTTCTTTTCTTTTTTTTACTGGAGCTTCTAAGAAAATATTTTGTTCCCTTGTATTTTTTAACCTTTGTTCATCTGTGGTCTTTGTCTGCCAGCATGGCTCAGGCTCCATGTTTAACCTGCAAAAAACAACACACGACGTCCAATCGAGTCCAAGCAGCTTGAACTTGATCTGCTTTTTTTTTTTTTCTGACAAATCCAAATGCCTCCTAACCTGCTGTTATCTCTGACTTCCTGTTTCACTCTCTTCCCTCACAGTGGCTACGAGTTTGACTACGACTACTACAGGGATGACTTCTACTCCAGGTACTGTGTGTCACTGACTTCACCACACGTTGATGTTAAACAGTTTTGTCTTAGCTTTGGAAACCAAGCGGCATGATGTGATCTGTAGATGTAAATGTTTTTTTCTGCCTAGCAACAAGTTACACTCTTGCAGCTTTATACCAACTACAAATAACAAACGACTGCAGAGTATTGTATTTTCATCCACTATATTTTTTGAGAAAAATACCATATTTTGAAGACCGTAGCCCTTTAACGTAGACAATGCAGCAAAATTGCTGAGCCCTAACACTGGTGGTTCACAAAGTGGGGGGCTCGGCCCTCTGGGGGCCATGAAACTGTTGCAGGTGGGACGCAGCAAAGCATTTATACATTTTAATTCAAATATTTTCTTCACTCAGTTTTATTTTATGATTTACAGTGTTTTATTATTAATAATATTATTTATTTAAAACGCTGAGTGGAATCTGAATCGTCCTCAGTGAAGACCTCTGTATCATATATTGTGATTCTACATCCATCCCTCAGAAGTGGCTCAACACACACACACCCACACTCACACCAACGTACACACCAGGCCATTGTTTCTCTCATTCATCAGCGGCTGATGACAGTGATTATCTGCAGAGCCATTTTCTAAATGTCAGCCTTGTTGAGAGCCGTGACAGACGTCTACAGTCGCAGTCAGAGCTCACACCTCCGTCTGACACTCGGCACCGACGGAACACTCCTCACTTTGAAAAGACGTGTCAGGATGTGAGTTATACCCTGGATAATAGTGTAAACAGATGCAGAGAGAGAAATAAAAAACACCAGAAACACAATAAAACTCTTCATCATCAGTTATGGAGACCTTTGTCTCATGAACTCAGACTGAGAGCTGATGTCGGGTTTTTTTTTCTCAAGGCTTTTCGACTACAGAGTGGCCCCCCCGCCCAGGGCCGTGATCCCTCTCAAACGTTCCAGGGTGCTGACTCCCTCCCCCCGCCGCGGGGCGACGGCCCCCCTCCCCGGCCAAA